TTTATTTTATTGGTCGCGAGTAAATGAATGTCACCATTTCCTCTCATTATACTGACCCTTTATAATGACTCGAAAAAACTAAAATTAATAAACTGTATACGATTAATTCCAAAAAGAGAACGTTAAATACCGTTTCTTCCTTTTTTTCCCGCGTACGGTAACTAGTCATAATCAAAAATTAATCAATTTCGTGTTATCGGTTGCGAGTTAGAGGATGTCACTGTCCTCTCTCTCGATTACAGTAACTCGTCGCAGGTAGAAAAGTGGAGTAGTGATAAGAAGTGGGGGGCAGGTAGATACAGCAAAAACGGTGGCTCCTTAATTAAAATACTTAGGGGTCAGGAAGTGTGATGAATGAGGTCATGTGCCGTATACGGTGCTACTCGGCTCGGAGAACTCTATTAATTATTAGATGACACAAAACCCATTACCAGGACGAGGAACAAACGGAGGTCCTGGAACCGTTTCTCGTTGGGCCGCCGTAAAGGGCGAGCCGCGGGATCTTTCCTTTTGTTCTTACTACGAGGTGCGGGAGGCGGCATTAAGCTAATTATTCCCAGGGTGGAAGAAAAAGATTGGTCCGAGGGGTTCGTAATCCTAGAAGCTACCGTTACCCCTACCACAGCATGTGGTTGTTACATAAATTCGCAGGTAAATATATAAGAACCAAAAATGTATTTTTCTCAACGTAACGAACTGCATATTTATTAATAATATCTTCTGCGGCAGTTGATCGTTTCAAGCCGAAATAAAAATTTAAGTTTACAATTACTTCCGAAGAAAATTCGTTGCAGCAAAATTTGGTTCCTAACTTATGGAACAACCCAAGAAATACGCAAAGAAGGATATTAACACTTTACCGACCGGCGAATTTGGAAGTAAATGGCGATCACGGGTATCGCAAAACTGATTAATAGGCTTCCGGTCGGTGAAGTGTTGTTACTCTTAAAAAATATCATAATCGCCAATATTTCTATACCATGAATAGAAAATTAGATCAACATTGCGTGCCGGTGAAAAATTACAACTTGATGAGATTTCAATGGTTCAAGTACGAATTTCTCGGAATTAAATGTTGCCGATGCAGCTGCATGTTTCGATCCTTTGATTAAATGTATGATTTCGTATCCTGTCAACCCCTGATGACGGGAAGGAAAAGCGGAGTAACTCGACTTCTCCTTAACTTTTAAAATAAGGATGCAGAGCTGATTACGATATGAGCGATACGACTTCTATTTTCTAGTCTGTTAACGTTAAGCAGTTGCCTTTCATAAAACCAGAATAACTGCGCCCACCATTACACGGAAAAGCATAATTAACTCAGCCGCAACTCACGGAGTCGCGGGATGTTAATGTTCCGTATAATTGCCGCGAAAAAACTTCCAGCTGGTACGTATAATAAAAGAAATGTCTTGAAGCGTCGTTGGAGCAGCTTAGCCGTCTACGGCAAACAAGAGAAAGAAAAATCGTCTCCTCTTCGAATCCCTTGGAATCGCGCGAATGATAATCGAGTGAATTAACCATTTTTACGTCTTAAGCTCTGGCATAGGATGTATAGAACCCGCAAACCCAATTATTCCCTTGACATTCTTGCGCAGACAACGGAAAGGAAAAAGAGCGAACAAAGTGACTATCCTTTCTCTTCCTTTCTTGTCGTTAGATAGGCTGTCGCCATATTGGGCCTTGCAACTGTTTCACGTAAAGAGAGAGAGAACGAGCAAGAAAACAGCCCCTTTGCTTTCTTCTTTTAATTTCGAGTCTTCATTGTCAGATAAACGCTTGAACTCCATTCATCATACTTCCACAATTTGACGTACATTAAAGATGTAGGTTAGAAATATATTATACGTATAAGTGAAGTTTTTTTTCAAAATACAATATTTCCAAATTTTGTACACAATCGTATGTGGGATTTTAGTACGTATGTACACAAATTTCAGAGAGTGTCGATACTAAATTTCAAATCTGTATAGGTACTAATTATCGATCACTTACACGTACACGATTGCATTAATTTGGAGAAAAACGCGTTATAGTAACGCGATATTTACTAACATTTGTATCGAACTGAATTATCGTCTTGCTTCTTTGCTCAAAAGTTTCATTACTTTGCAAGAATTATTACATAAAATTGGTCTTCAAAACGTAGTATACATTTATCCTGTCGCCATTTCAATTTCCTCTGGGTCTCTCTAGTCTACATTTGTGTTCGAAGTGCAAATCGACTCATGAAAGTTTCTTATGGTAACCATAGACATAGGAGACATGGAGCCCACAAACGCATCCATTTCCTTGATATCTTTGCGAAGGCAAGGAAAAGGAAAGGAATCGAACAAAGAAATCCTTTCTCTCTTTCCTTATTGTTCGATAAGCTATGGTTATATTGCACCGCACATTCTTTTTACCTAAAAAAAAAAGAGATAAAGTGAAAAAACAACCCCTTTGGTTTCTCCTTTTCCATTCCGCAGTCTTCATAATTGAATCAGTGCACGGTCTCCGTACGCTCGACGTACACGGCTTTACGCAAATTAATTCATCAGTTTCTTCCTGCTGACGTAAGCTAAAAATCTAGGAACGGCAAAATAAACTCGCCGCGGGCAAATCCACTCTCGAGCCCCCTTAAAGAATGAAAAAATTCACTCCCACGCGTACGTGGCGACGCGTCCCGACGCCGCAAATAGTAGTACGCGCATAGCATGACGTCTCATTAACACCGTTTCCTTAATGACAACCGCAATAAGAACTGGTCCTAAGCTCCACTCGAGCGAGATGGCGTTTCTTTCGAAGCCGCAGAAAATACCTGCGCGTTTATACGGCCCCGTACACCCCTCCGTACACCTATACACCTTCGTACACCTTCGTGCCTCCATAGCCAGGAGTACGTCGTTAATGCGTACGCGCAAAAATAATAATTGTTCGTTTACGTACGAACCCAGGAACGGCGGCAGCGGTGTCTTTGACAAGGAGTTCCGTACTTCGGGGAGAGTTCATTTCCCCTTCGTCGTCTTCTTCCCCCCGCCCTCGTTGCCGCTAAGACTGTAATTAAACAAACAGACCGCAGCCGACGCGTAAAATTTGGTTTGCATATTAATTTCACCAGAACGCAGCGGCGTAGGGGACAAGATTCAACCGCGAGGGACCGAGCCGTAAAAAGAACACGCACTTTCTAAAAAAATTAAAGCAATCGTATTATTATTTCATTAACATGGATACGAGCAGGGATTTTCTTTCGATAAGTATCGTAGCATTCCAGCTCCATTCGGTTATGAAAATCTTGACTAATGCAGAATTCAATTCAATTCGTTTTAAAGCAATTTTGTCATTACTGAGATATAGAACAGAGATACGTGTTCGATATCAATATTCGTCGTGTCATTGTGGTATATTTCACCTTTTAGTATATTTCCACAATTGCTTGTGTAATTCATTTTCACATAAAATAACGAAATTAATTTTTCCAGATATATGGCCATAGTAGAGTCTCGCGCCTTATGGTATTGTATCTTTTGCCGCAACGATTTATTTTACATTTCGGCATCGTTCGAAATTGTAATCAAAGTGTGGCAATTTTTCCATTATTTTAATAGAGTTATTAATATGAGTGAAATCCCTGGCGGATAGTTTAATCGCGCGTTGGGAGTTACGCCAATGCAGGACGCAGGTAGAGCGGGATCATCTCGTAGTGGCTGTAACTGTCAGCATGGCATCGTTTTGACCGCTAAATAACACGGGTGCTTTACAGAGAAATCCAGTAGTACAGTAGTCGACGTAAAACGTCGAAATTACGAGCAAGAGGGATCGACGAACCCCGACGAAGTCCGACCCGCTCGGCGAAGACGACTGCTGGCTTCCCGATGTCAATCAGGCCGCTCGCAAAAGAGCCCGATATGGCGAGTTCTCAATTACCCAAATCTCCATCCATATCTCGGCAATACTCGCAAATTAGCCGCCAGCGCGGTCTGGACCTTCGCTTAACATTTAACATCGCATAACGATTCGACGGTCCGTTTGTACGCTGCTCCTGAGGCTCCCGTTTAAAACAGCGGTAACTCTAAAGACTGCTAAACGACTTTATCCGGACCAATAATTATAAACGGGAAATTAAAATTATATATTTTCAGAATAATTATTGCTATTCGATTATTAACCCACAAAGCACCCTATGTAACAGCTACATAACACTTGAATAATACGATTAATAACGGAAGTTATTCAAAAGATACATTGATGTCATGTAAGGTCGAATTATTACCATTGTGTACTATTGTTTCAAACTTGTCAGTATTGCAGTTGTATAATATTAACGTAACGTATAATACGTTACCTACATGTTACGCTGTTGGTTTTATAACAATGTTATATATCTACGTAGGAAACGGTAATACAAATCTTGCTTGCATGATACATGTATATTACATTACATGTTACAAACGTTATGTAACGGTTATGTTATTGTTATGTTATTGTTGCGTAACTGTGTTTGATGGAAAGGGCTTTGGGGTGTCATGAAAGGGTCATTCTGTATATTTCGAAATGTCAAAATATTGATAAAATTTGCCTTCTAATTGGGCGTACCGAATCATTTGAAACTTCAGCACGTGATATGGAGGTTCCGAAAAAGAATGCGATACTCGTGAAATTTAATTTTTTAAAACAATGTGTGTCCTTGGTTCTAGTCAGGGATTAATATAAAAGTTTAACGGTATATCGAAATTCGAAATTTCTTATTGTTGCAGCTTGAAACCTTCTCAAAAGGACAGGGGTGTTAAAACAAAAATATGTTAAGAACGGCATATAGAAATTCAGAATTTGCTATCATTGCAGATTGTCACCTCCTCAAAAGGACGGGGATGATAAAACAAAAATATGTGAAGAACGGTATAACGAAATTCGGAATTTGTTATTGTTGCAGCTTGAAACCTTCTCAAAAGGACAGGGATGTTAAAACGAAAATATGTTAAGAACGGCATATCGAAATTCGGAATTTGTTATTGTTGCAGCTTGAAGCCTCCTCAAAAGGACGGAGTGACGAAATCGAACCCCAGCAAGAGGCATCGAGAACGACTGAACGCCGAGCTGGACACCTTGGCTTCGTTGCTGCCCTTCGAGCAGAATATCCTCAGCAAGCTAGACCGCCTCAGCATCCTCAGGCTCAGCGTCAGCTACCTTCGCACCAAGAGCTACTTCCAAGGTGAGTGCCGGTCCGAGGCGAAGGGTCGTTCCTCTCATTACCGCGGACGAATTTCATTCCGCCCAGTCGATTCCGCGTATTTCGCAATTTGCACTTAATTGCGCCCCAGATCGAAAGTTTAAGACTGGAAGGAAGGAATTAACGAGGGGGAAGGAGCCAGAGGTACCATTAGCTCGTCAGGCATCGACGATGAAGATGCACCGCATCGGTATACGAGGCATCGCGGCTTGAACCAGCCTGGATATGCCGGGCAACATCCCTGATGCGAATTTATTTTCTCTTTATGAGCATCGCTCATTCGTCAGCACTCACCAAAATATTCGCGTTCTTGCAAATTGAAATTTATTCAACAGAAATGAGATAAGTGGGTAGATTAACCGTCGGTATATCTTGAAACTCTCTCCGAAGTAATGGACTGGTTCTAATTGTAAGGTGAAATTGTTTGGACGATATGCCCGGTAATAAGGGATGGTTTGATATGATCAATTATTAACTTCCATAGGTCGACGATTGATGGAACTTATTTTGAACGTTTCTGAGAAATTATGGAATTGGCTCGAATTGTAGGTTAAAGTAATCGTTTGGCTGATATGAATGGTAACAAAGATCTTCTCGGTTGGTTTATGTAACAGTAAGTGAATAACGGTACGAACTGGACCGGTAAATTGCCGAAGGATTCCATATTGATATTCTACAATTTGATTGGCTGGTTATTATTGTGCTCAGGTTACCGTCATGCAAAATAACCGCGGAGACCTTAAAGAACGATTTGACGTGACTAATTGTTCACGCCTCTTAGGGAACAATCGGCATGTATTCCTGCCTTCGAAAGTATTCCTTGAAATTAAAGTCGAGATAAAAATGTCGACTTCGCTCGAATTACCATCTGCATGAATAAATGCAGATTTCTTAATTGTTAAGCTGGACAGGATTTTAATACTTCCAGCACGGTGGCCTGGATACAGTGGAAAGGGCTCACGACTCCGACCGATACGCGCGCAATTGAGCGAAAGATATGAGCTTTGTGCGACTAATCTTAATCGGGCTGCTTGGAAGTATTCCGCTTCCTCAGGAAGCTTTTCTGGACACGCGAAGCTCTCGTTACTTTTCCGGAAACAATGCTTCCCGAAGACAATGGCCGCTCTCGCCCCAGGATCTTCGCCTGAATCCTGGTGCGCCTCGATACTTACCGCCGTATCGAGGGCCCGAAATACAATGGATTCGGACTCTTTTAGACGATGCAAGTCCTAATGGACCTTTCAAATTTCTATATTAATACCGCGAGGCGGAAAAATCTCGAAAGGGAGGTAAAATGATTCGACGGACTTGAAAGAAATCGATCGTAGCAAGCTGCGCCGTTGCGATCATCCAATGGTCAATTATGCAATTGCGGGTACTCGCGCCAATTGGCGAGGTTTTCTCAGAAAATTATACAGTGGTACCTACCTAAGGACAGTGACGCGTTCATCATAGTGCTTTACAGCGCAATCGTAAGAAGGAATCCAATCTCGGAGCCTCGTTAATGAAACGGTTCTGGGAAATGCGGCCAGCATTTTTTTAGCTCATGAAAATACCGAAGGAATGCACTCCTTCGGAATGCATACTGATCATGCATCCATAAATTATAGCTAAATGTAATTACATAATCGCGGAATTCATTCATTTCAACGGAAACGGTCAAACTCCACATTGGCTGGAAAAAAGCGAAATGGTCAATCGATGATCCAGTTAGACTTCTAGTCATTGTTGATCGTTTTCTTTCGATTATCCTATCAATAACCACTGTCGTGCTATTCGTCACATTGAACGCATTCGATAATACCTACCTTGGCGTACGTAAAAATTGGATGGAAAATTGGATAAAAATTGGATCATTTTGCCAGGAGGTGTATGTATACTACTTAGAGCTGTCGCGCATTATAGTCGGATGATTCGTTACCGAACTGTAAAAGACTAAACGAATGCTTCTCTCCAACCCTATGATCTTAGAAAATGATTGCTCTCGAAAGTGAAAGGTATCGCGTTAAGCAATTGATTCAAGTCGACTTTCTTCTTTTCAGTAAAAAAGTTCAATTCTTTTCCGGGGATGGATCACTTGGCGACGCACTTATCGTAAAACTGACTTTCATTTTTCTTCTCGGGAATGCCTGACCAGCGTGGCATTTATTCCGAATCATTTACGATGGTCTGGAGGTAAACCTTGGAGAATGATTAATTTTAGCCTAAAAATCGTTCCATTAAGATTAGTAATCACTTCTTGACCAAAGCCTTTGTCTTTCCAACGTTGAACGGAGATGATTATTTGATCAACATTCTGGGTTTCCAGATTCGGTGACATTCTTCAATCCACGTTTCAACTAACCACAACTATGTTCCCAATCATTGACGATTATCTTAAAACTTAAAGTGGATTTCATAATTCTTTGGCCAAAATCCTGTTTTATTTTACCACGGTCACTATGTTGAAACGGCGTGAAGAATGTGGACAATTTAGATAGTCAATTTCGAGATTTGACGATTCCCTTCAAATAGCGTTGCATCCGACCACGTGACGGACATCGTCCCAGCGAGCGCATGCAATAATGTGCACTTTGGAGCGCATACCGACTGGATGCGTCATTTTGTAAAGGGAATGAGCAGGTTCCCAGTGAAATGTATAGGTCGAACGACTGTAATTTCAGGGGCTTCCACATTGTCTCGCAGTACGAGCACGCCCAGCGTGCACTTACGCGATTCGTGGTCACCCTTTACCGAGTGGTAACCACCTTCGGTGTTCATTTTTCTAGACAAATCCCTGACACGGGAGGCCTCTCTTCTGCGGGATTCCTGAATAAAGACGAGGCGAAGAACGTTTCTACCGATGATCAAGACATTATCGATGACCGGTGTCGGCTGTAATTCGCGCCCGGTTTCCGATATCACTCGATATTACTGTACGTTCAGTTACAGGTAATCAGGTTCTCCATCTACGGTAGCGCCAAGTGTTCCATTTCACTTCCTGGACCGAAGCGTACTACTCCCAAGTGAAAATAAAACGTGCCAAACGTTCTAAAAACTTGACACATAATGGGTCGTACTAGAAGTTTATAAAGATTAAAAAATTTACTTCTTCAACGAAACGAATCACATGTTCATGAATAATGTAGTCTCCGGCATCGTTGATCACTTCTTGCCACCTTGCTGTCAGTTTCATTTAAGCATTCAATTACCTTCGAAGAAAAATTCTTGCAAAAGAATTTGTCACGTACTTATGGAACAACTCGATAAAAAAAGAAATGTTTCAGTTGTGGCCTTACGGGGCGAATCATTTTACGTGAAATTTCTTACGTCAAGATCGTAACGCTTATTTTAACAGTGAAACGGTTATTTATCGACGTATAAAATACAATTTAAAAAAATTTCACTTCCAGCATGCGTAATGGCCACGCAATTATTTTTTTCCAAGGATAGACGCATTGTTTGCGCTCCCAAAAGATGTTAGATAAACCCTGAAATAAAGATCGGGGTCACAAATTCTAAGTCTTTGGCGGGGATACGTTTTTTTTTTTTTCATAGAATTTCGATGATTTTCTTTCGAACGGACCAACAATGTTCCGGATACTCCTATTAGAAATCGTGCCTGCATTGTCCAAGACCAACTGCTCTGCCTAATTATGCTTCAGGCTGCAACGGTCCAGTCATACTATTTAACGGGAATTTTTAAAGCAAAGAGAACATGATTTTCAATGTTTCACAAGAAAAAGAGAACTTGCCCTGGTTTGCCGTTTTGTTTCTCATCGCGAAGGATGTGGAGGCTAATCGATAGGGCGCGCCTCGGATGAGCGTTCCCGGGATCCTTGGGCACATCTCGAGGTCCTAAGTGCGCGCAATTAGTAAGGTGGCGTGGCCTTCCCGAAGGAGCGGCCACGCCGGCCGGTGGCGGGGCATACGCGTGCACACGCGTGCCCGTGGCCCCGGCCAGAGCCACGGTTGGAGCCGTGGCCGAGGAAGAGGGAAAAGCCCAGAGAGGGAGCACCGGTTGATCTACGACCGCGGACCTCCCGAGAGACCTTTGCCGCTCGGAATAATTGCGGACTCAGGACGAATCGTCATCCGGCCGGCAGGATGGCTTCGCGAGCGCCGTGACGCGACTCCTTACCTGCAATTAACTAATTAGCCATGCCGCGGCCGCCGATTAAATCGACCGCGTCACGCCCGGTAACTTCTGTCCGTCTCGTGAATCGATCCCGCCGACTCACGTGACAACCGTCATCCTCGGGGACGGAACTCCGATTGGGAACCAGGTATACGAGGAACGAGATGAACGGCGACCAGGATGGCTGGACTTCCTCCCTTTCGGAGTAAGTCGCGGATGTGACTCAACGCGAGTGGTCGGGTCGGAATTAACTTGACTTTCCGAAAGACTTTAAAGATTGAACGAATTCAAGAGATTCGTATTGTAGAATAGCAAGAGAACGTGCGCTGTACTCCTAAGGGGATGTGAAAGTGGAATCTAAAGGGTCGATCGTTCGTGAAACTTCTCGCTGAACTGGGTGTACCGAATCGTTTGAAAGTTTACTACGTCAATATGGAGTCTATAAAGAAGGTCCTGACCCTCGGAAAATCTCATTTTTTATACAACATTTTGAAAATACCAGTAATTGAAAATAATAGTAAAGTTTAAAACGATTCGGTAAACCCAGGTCGGAGAAAAGTTTAATAAACAAATCATATCACCTTCAGGTGATATGGAAGTGACTTTGAAAGAAGCGAATAGTAAATAATCGTATCGCGGAAAAAGAAAAGAATGATCAGAAAAACCACAATTGGGATAACCCCTTCCCTGGAGATTATGGCAACCAGAGTAACTTAGTAAAAGAACAAAGTATATAAAGAGGTTACGATAAGCACGGTAAAATAACTCTTTCCTTGTAGTTACCTTGACTGAACGGTGAAGTAACCCTTACAATGTTACGCTGGTTCCCGCAACCGCCTACCCAGGTTGTCCCAAATGGTTAGGA